ATAACAAGCTGCGTCTTGCGCGCATCCACGGCTTTCATATGCCACCATCTATGCACTTTAGGCGGCTTTATCTCGTGGCTTGGTGCGCCGCGTCCGCCGTAATTCATGCCTATCATGGACCACGTCTTTCTACTCTTTTTCTGCGGCTTTGGTCGGTCCTTCGCTCTGCACCCATGCCAGACCCCCTTTTCTTGGGTCAGGCAAACCCTGTTGCTAGGCCCCACCTATCAACTTTTTCTGACCACGCGCTACAGACACATGGTGCACCCCACTTTTTCGCTATAGCCCCACTATAGGCAGGTGAAGCTTCTCGGAGAAGCCTTGCCCTAGCCCTCTACAAAATGAGAACCACCCCGGCTACCTTTCCCAAGCATCCCCCCTCATTGAACCACCTCACCAAAGTTCCTTCCTCCTTGACCAAAGCCCATGGCCTCATCGAAGCCACTGTGCCCTTGCCTTCAACCCACAAACCCTCCTAGCCAACCCGCAGGGATGGCTGAAGGAGTCTGGACTAGCAACACCTGCCAAGGCATAAAGGGATTTCCCAAGATTACTCAGATACCACCACGCAGTGGGCTGGGAATCAGAGAGGTCCCGTGTATGAAGGTCGTGAGTTCATAAAGCATGACACCGGTGTGTGTGAGGTCATCGTCTACATCGGGAAAAGTGAGAACTCCACCAAAGATTGATGGCTGGAGCACGACCACCATTGGTTTTCGTTTCCCACGATGCCTATCAAGCGGTAGCTCATAAAGCTCTGCGACTCCTATGCCAAATCTATGCAGGACCCCTCGCCCATACCCCCATGAGGTTCTTTCCGCCTTGGGACAAGGACACTCCATTCTGAGGACACGCCTAGAGGCTCTGCAAGGGCGCCCTCTGCAAGCAATCGACCCTCTTGTGGTGTCCCTAGCCACATATCTGTTGGCCTTGGATGAGCACCATGAGAAGCTGGCCTCTGAGTTGAGGAAGTCGTCGCTCGAGCCGAAGGCGGCGAGAGCCTTCATCGAAAGCTCCATGTGAGCCTTGCCATGGCTCATGCCCAAACAGCACCCTTGCCCATGAAAGCCGTGAGGCTGTCACCGCTGAAGCCATGTGGGAAGCGGGGAACCGCTCACGCCAAGCAGCTAAGAGAAGCTTACCTTGTCACTCGAGACCAACGGAGGATGTACGCCTTAGACGGGCAACACCCTCGATTCCGAGGGGATACCCATCTATCCGTGGGAGGGAGAGCAAGGTGTGGCGGCGCCTCAAGCACCACCACCCACTCCCATAGAGGCCTCACAAGTGGAGTCTCCCCTTCCATGCACACAGCCCAAGCACCGCCGGAGAATTTCAAGAGAGCAGCCGTGAAGCCATCTGTCTCGAGGAAGTAGATTAGTTGCTCCCCTAGAGTTGTATCTTTTACATTTCTTTGTGTTGTTGAGTTTTAGCGATGTCGTATCCTCTTTGTTATGTCGTCACCTGCTTTGTATTACGCAATTGTGCCCTTGAATGAACTACTCCCCTTGTGTTGGTGTGCCTTTGTGTTTTTTTTAAAAAAAAGCCACATTCAAAACAAACCAATGCTAACTACCTGTGAACATACAAAAGAAATGGAATCCCAAGTCCATTGTAGTTGTTGCTCAAAAGAAATAAAGTGCATAACAAATTATCGTAAAAACATAAAAATGGTAAGCACGTATTTGGTGTGAAATAAATCTACAATGACAGTAATAAAGACATATTTCTTAAGTTGGTCACCCGCAGCGAAGCGCGGGCAAAAGTGGCTAGTACTCATTACAATAGAGCACACTAGCATAGGATGGAACAAGATGGCATTGGCGTACCTGTGACACCTTAGAGAAACTCTAGCAGGGCTCTCGAATATGCTCCTAAATCAAAATTTCAGGACTCAGATAAAAAAACATAGGTAAAACAGGGTTCCTTACTCAAGACCCCGAACATAGGAGACCCTCAAATTCTACCCTTAGGATCCTAAACGTAGGAGACCCTCAAATTATTCTATGAGGACCTTTCACTACGGAACCAGGAGCTTTGCCGAGTGTCAGCCTAAAAGACACTTGGCAAAGGGTTTGCCGAGTGTAACACTCGCAAACTACACTCGGTGAAACTTTACTCGGCAAACAGACTTTGCCGAGTGTTTTTGTCGGACACTCGGCAAAGACTTTGCCGAGTGCCTAAAATACACTCGGCAAACATTTTTTTCAAAAAACCACCACAAACATTTTTTTCGAAAAAAAAAACCACCACTGGCCGGTCTCCGCCGGCCGCCGGCGGTCTCCTCGGCGGCGCCCTTCCCCACGCCGCGGCCACGAGCTTCCACCCGAGCTGCCACCACCACGCCACCGCTCCCCGGTCGTCGCCACGAGCCACCACCACCACGCCAACGCCGCCACGAGCCACCACCGCCACGCCATCGCCGCCCACCACCAGATCTGGGGAAGAGAGGGAGAGGAGGGGGCGGCCGCGCCGGATTTGGGGAAGATAGGGAGAGGAGGGGGCGACCGCCGTCGGGGAAGAGAGGGAGAGGAGGGGGCGACCGCAGCCGGGGAAGAGAGGGAGAGGAGGGTGCGGCCGCTGGATCCGGGGAAGAGATGGAGAGGAGGGGGCGGCCGCGCCGGATCTGGGGAAGAGAGGGAGAGGAGGGGGTGACCGCCGCCGGGGAAGAGAGGGAGAGGAGGGGGCGTCCGCGCCGGATCTGGGGAAGAGAGGGAGAGGAGGGGGTGACCGCCGCCGGGGAAGAGAGGGAGAGGAGGGTGCGGTCGTTGGATCCGGGGAAGAGAGGGAGAGGAGGGGGCGGCCGTCGTCGGGGAAGAGAGGGAGAGGAGGGGAGGGCGCCACGGGGAAGCAGGGGGAGGGAGAGGGGGCGCTGGGGACGGGGTGCGTGCGGAGGAAGAAGGTGTGCATGGGGGAAGGAGGGGTGGCCGGGCCGCCGAATCCGGCCGGGAGGGGAGGGGCCGCCGGCGGGGAGAAGGTATGGGGCGGCGCGGCGCGTGCGCGTGCGCAGAGAAGGGGAGGGGGCGTGCGTGCGCGTGCGGAGAAGGGGAGTGGGCACGCGGACAGTTAAAAAAAGATTTTTTTTCCTTTGCCGAGTGTCCCAGATCTGGACACTCGGCAAAGTTTTTTTTAGTTTTTTTCTTCTCCTTCTTTCCTAGAAAAAATATTTTTTCCTTTGCCAAGTGTCATAGATCTAGGCACTCGGTAAAGTTTTTTTTTATTTTTTTTCTTCTCCTTCTTTCATAGAAAAAATATTTTTTTCCTTTGCCGAGTGTCCTTGATCTAGGCACTCGGCAAAGTTTTTTTCATTTTTTTTCTTCTCCTTCTTTCCCAGAAAAAAATATTTTTTCCTTTGCCGAGTGTCCTAGATCTAGGCACTCGGCAAAGTTTTTTTTTAGTTTTTTTTTCTTCTCCTTCTTTCCCAAAAATAAGATTTTACTTCTTTGCCGAATGTTAAAAAAAACACTCGACAAACCCCATCTTTGCTGAGTGTTTTTTTGACACTCGGCAAACCTCCTCTTTACCGAGTGTTTTTTTTGCCGAGTATTTTTAGCGCAGCACTCGACAAAGAGCTTGTTTGTCGAGTGCCCGATAGAATACACTCATCAAATTTGACGTTTCCGGTAGTGTTTTGGGTTGGAAAAGTAGAGAGCACTTGATAAACTCTAGGTGTACTCTTACTAATTAATTTGTTTACTATATGTTGCGTAAGGTTTGTTTAGAGCCCTAGGAGTATGAAATTTATGGTGATCTAATCCATCCCTCCCACTCTTAGGTCATAATCACATGCACAAGACACCTTGAGATTCCCTATACTAAAATTATAGAGAAGAACAATGCTATTTATAATATTAAATGAACATCATTAGATACACCATGAGATATATTTTTACAATTTACCCTTTTATGTAAATAGATAGTAATATTGTTCGATATAAACCTGGTCAAACTTAGGTAAATTAATTTAGACCTGGTCAAACTTAGGGACATGTATCATTAGACCTGTACAGGGATGTTTTAAGATAAATTAAATGCCAAACTTATCTTTCAATAAATTTTAATACTGAAATGTGCTTTTATATTGTTAGACAAAAATGGAGTCACACTAATATTCCGAAACCTTCAACAACATCATTAATGGACTATTACATGCATGCTCCCTAGTCATTATTACCGTAGATAGCTGTTCCATCAGATAAAAGTACAATATACATGATAAAATTGGAAGCATAACATCAATCCCGGTCGCCGATCACATCACCGTCCAAATTGGCATGACGATTATTCTTTCCGGTGGCAGCCACACAACCACAGCCACAACCACAGCAACTGTTTTGAGCAATAATCGATAAAGGGAAGCGACTACAATGCCAAACGGTCAGTGTCAGTGACAAGTTTTATTGTTTGTTCATATAATATAAAATAAAATAAAACAAGGGTCGAACATCTATTTTTAATGGAAAGTTTTATTCTATGATTTTATAGATATTTAATTTTATGACTTATAGAGAGTTCGTAATCGCGCCAAGAGAATTTCATCCCCATAAAACTCACTTCTTCTCTCTTCTTAAAAAAGGTTGTCATATAATCAAAAGCGCTTATATAGCAGCTTATTAAATACAAATAAAGTTTTAATGAAACTCCTACCGAGACTGATATAAGTTTTAATACCATAATGTGCTTTATATTGTTAGACAAAAATGGAGTCACGCTAATATTCGGAAACTTTCAACAACATCAATGGAGTACTACATGCTCCCTAGTCATTGTCACCGTAAGGCCTCGTTCGTTTAAGGTCATTCCTGACAAGAATGATTCATGGGAAGGCTAGACTAGAAATTATATAAGCGTTCCGGCCAGGAACAGTTCCAGGACGTCCTTCCCCGATACCGAACGTGGCCTAAATGAGATGTTTTGTCAAATAACAGAGTACAGTATATATGATGAAATTGGAAGCATATAACATCACTCAGTCCCTAGCCTCCTTCTCCGGCGCAATAATGGATGAGCTTGCGTGCCGCAGCTTTTCCTCATCCATCCCTCAGTCCCTAGCCTCCTTCTCCGGCGCCGGCGGCCAACACCCGGTGCTTGAGTTCGAGTACTGCGACGTCCCCGAGCAATGGCTGGAGGATGACGACGGGGTAGATAAGCTCTGGGACGGCAGCACAGCGACAGCGTTGGGCAACGGGGCCACGCCCTCGGCACCGGCAGCAGGCAACGATGTGTCTGACAAACCACCGGCGGCACCTGCGCCCAAGTGGCGGCGAGGCCGCAAGCCCGGGCCGAGGACCGTCGGTCCCGTCCTCAGTCACGTGGAGGCGGAGCGGCAGCGGCGGGACAAGCTCAACCGCCGGTTCTGCGACCTTTGGGCAGCCGTCCCCACGGTGTCCAAGATGGACAGGGCGTCCCTCCTCGCGGACGCCACTGCCTACATCGCTGAGCTGCGCGCCCGCGAGGAACGGCTCGAGATCGAGGTCAAGCAGCAGCAGGCCGTGGCGGCGGCGCCCTCCGCGGCCGTCACTGCAGGGCCGCCGGAGGCCTTCAAGGAGAAACTGGAGGTGCGGATGTTGGGGCAGCGAGAGGCGGCGGCGCTGCGCCTGACGACGACGGCAGCGACGACACCAACCCACGCCGCCGCGCGCCTCATGGTCGCGCTCTGCTCGCTGGACCTGCCGGTGCAGAACGCATGCGTGTGCCGGGTGGGCGGTACGACGACCGTGCAGGACGCCGTCGTGGACGTGCCCGTCGCGCTGCGGGACGAGGGCCTCCTCCGCGCGGCGTTGCTCCGGTGCCTGCAGGGGAGCGGATGATTTGTAGCCGGCTGCCGGGAGGCTTGGTGCGCCATTTGCTCCCATGGAACCGACGCCAAATCAAAGCTAGCGGTGGCGGTTTGGTGCACGACGCAGTCCACGGCGGCAACGCTGGTGCGAATCGGCGGTGGACAATCGGCTAACGACGGCCTCTCCCCCATGTGGATCCGATTTCATGTATATGCAAAACGTTTCTATGCATATACTCAAAACTTTATGTGATTTATCATTACTGTTTTTATGCTTTTCCTTGATATGATGCGCAATGAAATTGAAGTCTTAATTTTTTTGTCATGGAGTATGTATTCTATACATTGTTGGAACAAATTTCTATACACTATTGAGCATATTTTTATATATTATTGGAGCTATTATCTGTGCACTTCTACACTTGTTGGAGCACACTTATATGCATTGTTAGAACACTTTCACATACATTATTGGAACAGTTATCTGTACACTTCTACATAATTGAAGTCTTTCTTGCCGCTATAAGGTTTTTGCGCGTACTAAAATATGTTTCTATGCCTTTCTTTGCCACTTTAAGGTTTCTGCGCTTGCTAAAACATATTTCTATGCCTTTGTTATGATGTAGGATGGTTGGAAGGATGTTTCTGCGCGGCATCCCTTTGCTCCCTCGTTGGCCCCAATACCCCCTGTGTGGCGGCATCGGATCCCCGCTCCATCGACCGGCGACACGCGGTCACCCGCGGCGTGCGGGGAACCCGTCCACGACCGGCAGCATGCGGCCACCTCCTCCACGACCGGTGGCCTGACCTCCCAATGGTGGATCTGCGCGCGGCTTGACATGACCCCGTCTCCCTCCCACCCGGCGGCGCATCCTCCCCTACCCTACCTCCCCAATGGGGCTGCTTGCTTTGATTTTGTTTGTTGATTTTGTGTTCTTTTGCTTATGTGCATAAGTTTCTATGCATGGCTAAACTGTAACTTACATTATTGGAGCAGATATCTGTGCACTTCTACACAATTATATACATGTGTGGAGCACTCTTCTATGCATTGTCAGGACACTTCAACATATTGTTGGAACAATTATCTGTGCGCTTCTACATAATTCTATACATTATTGGTACACTAATATCTATGTGGTAAGAAAACTAATTTTTATTCATCTAACTACTAGTTTCTATGCAATGCGGTGCCAAAAATGTTTCTGCGCATCTTGATCGTTGATTCTATGAATCCAATCGTCCTCCCTTTGTTTTTTTTTTTCAAATTTCAAATCTTAGAGAAGATGAGATTGTCTCCATATTTTATGCTCATGGTCTCCATATTCTATGTATTGTTCTCATGTTAATTATACACCCTCATAGTGGGAAGCATGATGTTGATGGAGGCAATCACAATTGTGTCAGGTGAAATGTCCATCTCGCGAGAGGTTTTTACGCGGTAGCAAAATTAAATTTTATTCATCCAACCACTAATTTCTATGTTAGTGGAGGTAATCACAGTTGTGTCAGGTGGAATGTCCATCTCACGGAGATGTTTTTACACGGTAACAAAATTATTTTTTATTCATCTAACCACTAATTTATATGCAACATCGGCACCAAAAAGTTTTGTGCGCATCTTGACCAGTGATTCTATGCATCCAATCAGCCATCACATGCCATGATTCAAATTTCAAAATTTGAAAAACACGAGGTCGTCTCCATGTTTCTATGCTCTATCTCACAAGGTCTATGCGTAGACGGATGCATAAAATTCTATCTCATAATGTGCAAAATTATGAATTTTAAATTTTTTTCAAAAATATATTCACAATGGATCTTGAATCGTGCATAAAAATGTCGGGAGTTCAATGGTAAAAACTGTTTTTAAATCGGATGCCTCGTTGAAGAAATATCACTACTACAGATTGACTTATCGCTAGTGGCACTTTCACTGCCAAAGCGATAGAAGCGACCGTGTGATACCTCCATCGTTGGTTGACCGATAGCGAGGCCTTCTAGGGAAGAAAACCGGTAGTGGAAACTACTACCACCGATAGGTTAACGGTAGATGCGGTAGTGGTATTGGGGTTGCATTTCCTCCGTCGCATGAAAAGCCGGGCTGACTGGGATACGCGTTTTAGCCGGCGGTCGTAAACTAACGTCGGAACTAAAAACTTTTCTGCGCATCTTGACCATTGATTCTATGCACCCAATCGGCCATCACGTGCCATGATTCAAATTTCAAATTTTGGAGAAGATGAGGTCGTCTCCATGTGGAGAGGTTTTTACGCGGTAACAAAGTTAGATTTTATTCATTCAACCACTAATTTGTATGCAACGTCGGCACCAAAAACTTTTCTGCACATCTTGACCATTGATTCTATACACCCAATCGACCATATCGTGCCATGATTCAAATTTTAAATTTTGGAGAAGACAAGATTGTCTCCATGTTTGTATGCTCTCACTCACAAGATTCCAATCGGTCGTATCGTGTCGTGATTCAAATTTCAAATTTTGGAGAAGACAAAGTCGTCTCCATGTTTGTATGCTCTCACTCACAAGATTCTATGCGTAGACGGAAGCATAAATCTTTATATCCTAATGTGCAAAATTATGAATTTTAAAATTTTCAAAAATATATTCACAATGGATCTTGAATAGTGCACAAAAATATCAGGAGTTCAACGGTGAAAACTGTTTTTGAATCGAATGCTTCATTGAAGAATTATAATGCAAAAATGGAAGAGATTGAATTGCACTAGTAGAGAAACGACTTTTGATCCACTTCGAAATTTGGCTTTAGTCCCGGTATTTTTTGCGCTCGGGACTAGAGAAACCTTTAGTCCCGGTTGGTGTCTCCAACCGGGACTAAAATCCTATATTAACGGCTATCACGCTCGCACGCGATGGCGAGGGGACCTTTAGTCCCGGTTGGAGACACCAACCGGACTAAAATGAACCTTACTCCCGTTGGAGCCACCAACCGGGACTAAAAATCCTCTAAGTTTTAGTGCATTTATTGCCGTGCTTTATGAGTGATGACCAACACCGAACTTTTAGTCCCGTGCTTTACTTGTACTGCTTGCATTTACGGTGATGACCAACCTTGAACTTTTAGTCCCGGTGCTTTACTTGTACCGCTTGCATTTACGAGGTGATGACCAACCTTGAACTTTTAGTCCGGTGCTTTACTTGTACCTGCTTGCATTTACGAGATTTAGTCCCACTTGCATTTACACCTTGCATTTACGAGCTTTAGTCCCGGCTTGCATTTACACGCTTGCATTTATGCGACAATTGAAAACGAAGACCTTTAGTCCCGGTGTATTACGGCCGGGACTAAAAATACCTTAAGTACCTTTAGTCCCGGTGGTATTATCGGCCGGGACTAAATCTTTAATCCCAGGCGTTCTGAAGCCTCGATGGGCGGCCCGATCGCAATATGTTGGAATTGCTGGCCATCCACCTATTAGCACCACCTCGCTTGCTCGGAAGAGTGAAAGCTAACTTAAAAGCTCGGCTCTCGAACCAAGCAAAGACGAACTTGAACAGGATTGTACCGATCCTTGACTAAAGGTCCTTCGTACTATAGTTTATATAAAATGTTGAACATTATAAGCGTCGTCGTATATTCTAGCAACGTAGAATGCGTATTCAAAAACAAAAGCGAATCATCAATTAAAATAGGAAAAAAGGAAAATAGAAATAGAAATAAAAAAACACGTAGCAGCGTGAAAATAGAAAAAAAAAATAAATAGAAATAGAAACAAAAAAAAAAAAAAAAACCTTTAGTCCCGGTTGGGGTTACCAACCGGGACTAAAGAGTGCCGGCCTCGTGGCATGTCAGGAGGCACCTTTAGTCTCGGTTGGTGTTACCCACCGGGACTAAAGGACCCCCTTTAGTCCCGGATGCTTGCTCCCGGGTGGGGAACCGGGACTAGAGGGGGTTCCCCACCGGGAGTAAAGCCCGTCTCTGTACCAGTGTTGGGTTGCTTGCATGCGCGTGTGTCAGCTTGTCAGTGTCAGGTGGAAGGTCTAGCTGGTGGAGAGGTTTCTATGCGGTAACGAATTAATTTTCATTCATCCAACTATTAATTTTTATGCATCATTGCGAAAAAAACCTTTCTACGTAGGTTGATCTGGAATTTTATGCACCCGATCGCCTGGGTCTGTAGCCCCCCCAACCTACGCGTGCGTGTCAGCTGGGCGAACCTGGATGATTGGACTAGGTGGGGGGGGGCTGGCTGGGGCTCTCCATTAGTTATTGAAAGCCGGTATATTATATATATATATATATATATATATATATATATATATATATATATATATATATATATATATATATATATATATATATATATATATTTTCTCTCTCTCCCGAAGGAGAGTCTCTCTGCTGTGCTGACCATGACACATTTTTTATTGACAAGCGACCATTCTCATGGGCAAAAAAGTCTAGTAGGGTTTCACGAATGCACAACAGCCATAAGATTTCTGCAGGATGCAGGAGTATGTGATGACAAAGAGGGCCTGCACTACCGGATATGCACAAGGAAGCCGACAAACGTATACGCCTTTACGGGGTCGCACTGTGTGTGACAAGAACATGAAAACAACTGCAGAGCAACCACAAAGCCACGAAGCTAACGTATCCGGCATGTATATCCTATGGCACGTTGTTATGGCACGAAGCCACGAACTATACCACGTGTGTGCTGTGCAACGGACGGCACAGGAGACGGCTTCTTCGTCGAGCGTCCAGATTTTGCCGATTGTTTTTTATCGAACACTTGACAAAGAAGTTATTTGTCGAGTGTCAGAGAGAAAGCTCTCGGTAAATAACTGGCACTCGACAAACAATAACACTCGGCAAAACTGGTCTTTATCGAGTATTATTCTCCTGACACTCGGCAAAGGGCCGCCGCCGTTAACGGCCGGCAGCCGCTGTTAACCCTTTGCCGAGTGTCTTCTCCTAACACTCGGCAAAGCGGTGATTTGCAGAGTGAAATTTTTTAAAACTCGGCAAACCATATTTTTTTTTCA